ACTGGTCTGGAAACCAAACATAGGAGTTACGCGAGAGTCATTGAGACTGGGATCGGTGTAAAAACTGGTGGTGATGAGCCCCCGGTAGAGGAGCTGCAAACACTGGAGCGGCAAGTTGTGGAGTTTTTTGCCCCTGCACAGTAACAACATTGCAGCATGCTATACCCTTCCCAGAAAGAATGCTAAAGTATCTCCAGCGATAGTAATGAGATTTGTAAATCGAAAACACAAAACTGACTTACTGAGGCAGTCCAGACAGCTGAGAGGAAGCGGAGTATACTTGAATGAACATCTTACAAAAAAGAATGCAGACATCGCCAGACAAGCTCGCATATTACAGAAGGAAAAAGAAATCTAAGCAACTTGGACGAGAAACTGTAAAGTGATGATAAAGCTTAATTCTCAGCCTACATGAAACTAAACCCAACTTTGTCCATTAGAAGTGCAGAGGCTACAAGTCTGGCACGGGCCACCAGTTTTAATAAACACAATGTAGCAATGCTTTTCAAAAAATTTGATGAATTGCTAAAGAGACACAACTTAACTGCAAATGACATATGGAATATTAACCCCGGACAGAGTGATTGCAAAACCTGGCACTAAACAAGTTGGGGCAATGACATCAACAGAGAGAGGTTCACTGGTCACCCTTGTATGTGCAGTCAATGCCACTGGCAACACAATTCCTCCAATGTTTCCCACACATACGTTATGCAGACCACTTTGTCAGAGATGGGCCAGTAGCAAGTATTGGCAGTGGAAATCAATCAGGATGGATGCAAGAAGAAGAGTTCCTCATCTTTCTGAAGCACTTTGCAAACCACACCAAGGTCAGCCATGAAAAAAAGTGATTCCTCTCATGGATAACCACAGTTCACACCTGTCAGTTGCAGCCATTGACTTCTGCAAGAGCAATGGAATTGTGATGCTCACATTTCCCCCTCACTGCCGTCACAAACTCCAACCACTCGACAGGAGTGTTTATGGCCCACTGAAAAAGATGGTAAACAGTGCAAGTGATTCCTGGATGAGAATGAATCCAGGAAAGACCATGACAATATATGAAATACCAGGTCTCGTCAGGATGGAACTTCCAGCAGCAGCTACGCCAAAGAATATACAGGCTGAATTCCAGTGCTGTGGAATTTGGCCATACAATCCAAACATATTTGAGGAAAGTGACTTTGCTCCATCACAGGTCACAGATTGTCGTTCTCCAACAGTCCATATGGACATTTCTCCAGCTGACCAACAGTCCACTCTTCTTGCTGCTCATCTCACCAGTCCTACAGCTGACGACATGACCACTCCTCCAGATGCTCACATCTCCAGTCTTCTAACTGACCTCCAAGCTGCTCCCTCATCAGGCTGTGATGAAAACCCACAGACCTACTTGGGCTTTAACCCAGAAGATGTCAGAATCAGAATCAGAATCAGAATA